AAAAGAAATGAGGTTCAGTTTACTCTGTGTAGTTTTTTAATTTATAACTTGACTATTTTCAACAACGGTTGATGCAATTTAAAATAAAAGACATATGTAGATTTATTTGTAGTGACTCCAGGCTGACTCTTAATGATCAACAATCCATTTTTAAGTGCTTGCAAACACAGTTAACTCTTTCCAAAGTTTTGCTGGGAATCCATATAACTGGCCTTTCTATATTTTCTTGAATCCCCCTTTATTCCAAGAAATGACACCAACACTTGCTTATGTCCAAGCCTCCAGTGATTCTACCAGTCTCTGTGATCTCTTAAAAATTGATGTTGATGTTTGTAAGATCACATCTGCAAATTATTTCATTATCCTAGTTGTATTTCATAGGATTTTTCAGAATTAAACTCATTTGAAGCAGCTGGTACTCTCTTAACACCTTCTCATTGATTTTGGATTTCATTTCTTTATAGCCATTGTCGTTCTGTCCATAAGAATAGTGGTTTTAAATCTTTAGAGTACATCAGAATCACTGGGAGGAGGAAGAACCGGTTAAAAATGCACATTCCCAGTCTGCTGTCAGAGATTTAGTTTTAGTAGAGCTGAGATGGCGATAGGGAATATATATTTTAACAAACAGGTGACTGATACACCATGTGAGAAACCTTAGGTAGAGGAAAATGATGGGAAGTAATTTGGTAATTATGATTTTTTTCTTATAATGTTCTTATATATGTTAGCATTACAGAGCTCTCCCAAAAAGGGAGTCTTAGTTGGTTGGTCATTTTGGTCCAAACATAGCTTGTAAAAAGCTCTTTCGTTTAGCATTTTTCATAAGCCTCAGAATATTTTTGATTTTGACCTTTCTGACACAACTCACAAAGCTTGTGCCTTTTAAAAATAATAGGTCTTAGTCACGGGCCCTTCCTGTCATTGTTCACATGTGTGCTCTAAAAGCCTGAGCCCAGTGGAGCACTCTTTGGGTAATCCTCCTTGGATCCTTCGGATGCCCACAGTGTTCTAGTCCATACCCTTGTGGCATTCAGCCAGGATTCATTGAGGATGAGATGAGGGCTATGAAGAGAGCTTATAGAGAAGAGAGCAAAGAGAAGAGCTTATAGAAAACTTACTAGGATGTGTATAGGAAATCTGCCCAGAAACCAGTAATGTACTGGTGCTCTGGCATTTGGAAGTGGTTGAGGTAAGAAGGGGGTGGATTCAGACCAGAGCAGAGGCTGTCTAACTTTCTGAAATTGCTGATGTCTGGTCCCCTCTTAAACCCCTTTTCTAAGGTCCTCATCCCACTTCTTCCTCTCTGACCCTCTAGACCTTATGTATGCTTTCATTATTGCATATTCCACACTGTATTTTAGTTGTTTGTTCACATGCCTGCCATTTATTACAACTTTGTAAAGGCAGGAAACACGACTCCTTTATTTTAAATAAAAACAATATAAAACAAATAAACAAAGAACCTGTACTTTACACACTCCTTGGTATATAATAGGCATTCAATAAATATTTGTTGAACTAAGCCAAGGATAACAAATATCTGACAGGCATCCTACACTTCCTGTCCTATACTGGGAGAGACATTGCTAATGGATCTTAGAATTCTTTTCTCCTGAGCAGAGAAGCAGTTTCAACAGCCTTCAAAACACAGCTTTCCATCAAATAGACCAGAACTAGCTTACAAAATGAAACCTATTTGCTAACTCTAAACAAAACAGAAGTCCTTCTCTCCTACAGTTCAGATATTAACTCCATTTGTGAAATTAGAAAAATAAACTTACAAATAAAAATTAAGTACTTAAAAAGTCAAGTTGGTATGATAAATACTAAAGGGAAAATATAGGGAATCACCCTGGAAGGATACGAAATAACCTGCATCTTACAGTGAGCAGGTGTCCGGGTTTTCCAGCTGTTGAGACTCCAGAATGATACAATCGAGAATGATATAATAATGGAATGATATGGAAACTCAGCATCTCATCACATGGGATCAGCAAAGTCTGAAACTTTTCAAGTAATGATTCTGATACACCACAGGACCAGGGCCCACAGTTCAGTCGGGTCCAAAACCAATGTGTAGATAAGCCAAGAGCCCTGTCTCTAACATGCAGCACGGGGCAGGGGTGGCGTTGTTTGTGCTGAAAGGGAGATAAACAAAAGTAGGTTTGTCTGGTGAGATTTGCTTTCCTACCACTCTCTTGCCTTCTCCTTCTCCATGCACCTTGGAACCCTGATTATTATCTATCACTTAACAACCTTGAAGTTTCCATCTTGCACTGATAAAATTCTCTTTTGTGTATCTATATAACCTGCCTGAAGTAAAGTCAGACCCTCTCTATCTATGACTCTTTCTCTCAAATGTGGCCACTATAGTTGTTTTCTCTTAAGTTCCTATTTTAGAACTCAGTATACTGAGAAAAAGACCCCTTCTTTAATTCCTAGAGTGAAGGCCAAAGGACTTAAAGGTATACTTAGGGTATTTAAAAACTGAATTTTCTGGAGTTGATCTTAGAGAGAAATTGGATTTTAAGAGGTTATAATACAGAAATGCTTAGTTATCAGACCCTGCTAATGAGTGACAGTCTCCTAATCAGAAAAAGTTTTATTACAAAAGTAATTTTTAATTTTAATTCCTTATAAATATAGAAAATGTATTAAAGTTATTACATCCCTCTCAGCCTTCAGATACAGCTTCTTTGGTTTAATGCTACCGCAGGATCAGCACCAAAAGTACAGAAGTTTGTTTGCTAAGCTGCAGCTACACAAAGAGCCTCCTGCCAGCTGTTGTAGTATGTTGGGCTAAATGTCTCCATTGTGCCTCTTCCTGAGCTTTTTGGACAGATTTTTACAGTCCTGTCTACTTTCTACTCATGGAGCTGTCTGATGCCGTTCCTGCCTCTTATAATGAAACTGACTTTCAAAATGTCTGTTTTCTCTCAAGTTATTGTTTCTAAGGGCTTATTGCTAGAAAACCAGAGAATGAGGTTTCTTTGAATTGTATAAAATAAGAGTTAATCAACTCTGAATGAGGCTTTAAAGACTTTCTGACGAATAAAGTACATGAAGTAAGGTGATGAACCTCTTGCCGTCTAATTGGACTATGCAGAGTCATTTTATTCTTACTCTTAGATTCTTGGGTGATTTAGTTTGCTGGAAAAGTAATTTCTGGATGAAGTGCTACAATTTTAAGATAATTTAGTAGTGGCTAGAAAATCAAATTTTTTGGAAAACATTTCGTAGAAAATTGCAGTTATGTTCCTGAAAAGTTTTATACAATTCAATTTTTGTAGTCTATTTAAAGGAATCCTTGCAAGGATTCTTTCCCTGAAACATAGAAAAATGAAAAAAACATATGCTTGCTTTTCCGTATCTTAACTTGCTTAGAACAGGGCATGTTGGTTTTTTAGTTTTTAAGTGCAGTTCAACCAAGTTTGGGAAGATCAGGGAAGGACTTCAGTGCCAGGAATAAGGCAGGACAGGTATCAGACCAATTTCCCACTAGGAACACCCAAAAATGCTGACTAGAAAAGGTTTTTTTAACTTCTTAAAAGCATCAAAGTCTGGCAAGATAGTAAGAACTGAAGTCCAAATCAAAGGGAAACAAGATCTCGGAAAGTCAAGTGGTACCCTAGAGCTGTTTTTGAACTGAGGGCCTCAGCCAATTTGGGCAAACTTGAACTCTGGTTCTGAGGGCTTCTCAGGACAAGGGGGACAGAACCAAAACCCAAGTCCTCCCCTCACTAACATGGTTCCAATCCTCAGGGCAAGGGTGAAAAAAAAAAATTGTGCAACCACCCTCAGGCCCAGGAGAACACAGGAAAAGCTGCCCTAATCATGAGCAGGGTAGAGCAGGTGGTAATAGTAAGGAACTGCTCTGAGAAGTTATAACTGCAAATTGGTACTTTCACAGCTTCCAAATCCATATCATTTTGGTGACGAAAAATAAATAAATAAACAAAATAAAGTAACCTAAAAACCATAAAACCCTGTCAAGGTGTGAACTGAGTTTAAAGTGATTTAGTTTAAAATGCCCTGGGTGCCCACCAAAGGCAAACAAAAGTTATTTCTGGAGAAAATCAGCATTATCCTAGGCTTCAAAGAATACCCCCACACCCTAAATAAATTTCAAAGACAGTGAGCAACATACAGTCCAAGATACCTAAGCCTATAAAGGCAAACCATCAAGAAAGAGAATTAGAAAAAAGAGACCTCCAAAAACTTCAGATTTTTATATTATTAGACAAAATCTATAAAAACAACTAAGTTTACAAATTCAAAGAAAAAAATAGGAAATTATGTAAGGAAGTGATAAAAAGTGACCTAGTAATTTGAGAAAAATAAAACTTCTAAAAATAAAAAATACAATGACCAAAATTAGAAACTAAATAAACATGTTTAAGCAGTTTAGAATCAAGTGAAGAGAACATTAAAGAACTGAAATGCAGATCAAAACTTGTTCAGGGTACAGCACAGAGAGACAATATAGCAAATGTAAAATAGAGCGAAGATACCTGGAGAACAGAGTGAAAAGGCCTAGCATTCATTTAATCAGACTCCCAGAGAAGAGAGAAGGGCTTGAATAAAAATAATATTTGAAGAGATGTTGGCTGGGAAGTTTTCAGAACTGATCAAAGACATCAATCCATAGATACAAGACTGATAAGCAGGAAAAATAAAAGGAAATCCACACCTAGATTTATCATTGTGAAACTTTAACAAACCAAAGACAAAGAAGATCTTAAAATCATTCAGAGAAAAAAGATAACCTTCAAAGTAGAGGCAACTAGACAATAGCTGAATTCTCCACAGTAACAAAGGAAGCCAGAAGCCAGTGGGATGAAGACATTAAAGTAAGTAAATATTTGCCAATCAATAATTATACATCCAGTAAAAGTATCTTTCAAGAATGAGGTCAAAATAAAGTCATTTTTAGACAGATCAAAACTGAGAGATTTTTCCGCGGGCACACTCTAATTTAAGATCTTTCCTTTCCATAGAATAAAAGTGATCTCACAAGGAAGACCCGAGACAAGAGAAGCAAGAGCAAAGAAAATGGTAAATATATGGATACATTTAAGTGAACATTAACTGTATAAAACAATAATAATGTCTTGAAAGGCAAAGTTGCAACAATGAAAAGGATATAATTAAAATATCCGACAACAGTAATATGTCTTATGGGTAAACGGAATTAAAATGTTTTAAGGTCCTTTGAATTATGTGGGTAAAAAGTAAAGGCATTGATAAATTTTAGACTTTAAGCTAAGGATGCATATTAATTTCTAGGGTAATCCCTAAAACATAGAGTATAAAATTTGCATGTCAGTAGAAGGAAAACAATGGAATAATTTTTTAAGTGTTCTTGAAAAATTCAAGAACACAAGAAAGGAAAGAAAAGGCAACATATGATAGACCAAATATAAATGGGATGGTGGTTTTAAAATCCAATATACAAATGATTAAATTAAATGTAAATCAATTATATAGCAAAAGAATATACACCACATGATTCCATATACATAAAGTTCCAAAACAGATATAACAAAAAGATGTTATTTAGGGATTGTGATAAGCTGAATAATGGTCCCCAAAGATGTCCACATCCTAATTCTTGGAACTTATAAATATGTTATTGTACATGGCAAAAGGGACTTTGCAGATATGATTAAATTTAGAATCTTGAGACTGGGAGATATTCTGGATTATGCAGTTGAGTCCACTGCAATCACAAGGGTTCCTTTTAAGAGGGAGGTAGGAGAGTCAGAGATGCAGAGGAAGCAAACAGAAGCAGAGGACAGAGAGAAGATGCCATGCTGCTGGCTCTGAAGATGGAGGAGGGACCACAAGTCCAGAAAGGCAGCGTCTAGAAGCTGGAAAAAGCGAGTAGCAGATTCTGCCCCAGAGCCTCTAGAAGGACCCAGCCCTGCAGATTCATTTTAGACTTAGGACCCCAGAACTATAAGATAATTTCAAGCCACTAAATTTGTGCCAATTGTTATAGCATTAATAAGAAACTATTGGAATATTTATCTATATACCTACCTACATCTGTATCTATATTTATTTATCTATGTGGCAAGGCAACAAATAAAAGCAAGGAAATGATTATCACAGAAGTCAGGATGGTGGTACCTCCAGTACCACCATCTTAGGGGAAAAGGGGGCCAGGGTTCTGAAAAGAGGGCCCTGGCCATTCTATTTCTTGACATGGTTAGAGGTTACACACATAATAATTATTGTTAAACTACACACACTTTTTCTGTAATAGCAAATATTTCATAATAAAAAATGTAAAAAGGGAAAATAAAGACCAGAAAGCCTGAAATTTAAGTGGGCTTCCCAGAATATTTAATTAGTAATGAATTTCTAATAATTGAGAAACAGATTATCCAGATTACAGAATACCCTGGTTCATTATAGTGCCCCCTTAATGCCTCCTGACATTTGACCTCTCCTCTACTCATTAATACCCCCACATAGTTGAGAATGGAAAGAATCTGGTGGAATAAAAGCCTGTGGGCTTTATCACTTATTAACCACATGGATTGGAGCAAGTTACTTTAAGCTCTTGTTTCTTAATCTAGAAAATGGAGGTAATAGTATTACTCCCTCTATAAAGTTGTTACAGGAAATAAATGAGATAAAGCACTTAGAACAATCGCCATCTAAAAATGCCACCTCTTTTTTATTTTCATTTGTTCATTGCCCATCCCCTCCTCAAGATAATGTTTATGGGGCACTCGCCTTGTACCAGGCCCTTTGCTAGATCCTAGGGATGCAAAGTCAAAAAAACCATAGCCCCAACTTTGAAGAGTTCTTAGTTTAGTAGAGGAAGAAGATGAAAAAATACATAATCATAATGCAAAGAGCTAGCAGTACAATTAAGGTATTAACAATGTTCTGAGACATTGTAAGTGAAAGAATCATTAACCAGGCATGCAGTGGAGTAAGGAAGGGGACCAGGCAGAGAAGCCTACCCAGAGGTAACACTTGAACTAGCTTTTGAGGGAGGAGTAGGAATTCGCTGGAGAAGATGATGGATATTCCCAGAAAGAGATCAATATAGGCAAGCCTGAAAGGAGATAATGGACTGGGGAAATGGCAAGCTGTTGGATGTTATTGAGAAGGGAGATGAAGTTGTAATAATCAGCTATGGTCACAAATCAAAAGGCCACATTTACCACGTGCAAGAGTTTGGACCTTCTCCAGGCAGTGGAGGGTTATCATAAGCAGGGGCCAGGATGATTTGAGCCATATTTTAGAAATACCACTCTATCTCTGTGCTGATGGGTGGGGAAAGATAATGAAGATTGCTCCCTGTAGTGGTCCAGATGAGAGGGCTTGGACTGAGGCAGTAGCCTTGGAATGGATGGAGGAGACATAGATTCAAGAGACAGCTAGAAGGTAGAATTGAGTAGACTTGAAAACTTACTGATTCAAAGTGGAGGTAATTACCAGGTTTCTAACATGCTAGTAATGATGGTGGGAAATGATACCATTAACCAAGTTTGAGGAGACCAGTAGAGCAGGTTGTGGGGTGGAACCTGCTCTACTAGTCTATCTATCTAAAATATATTATTACTATCTACCCATTCTAGATAGTAGATAACTTTATTTTGGATTTACTGAGTCTGAGATGCCTGTGGAACATCTAGGAAGGTATTTCTAGTAGGGAGTTGGAAATCTGGTTCTGAAACTCCGGAGAGAAACAACAGTAGGAGCCATAAACATGTAAATGGAGGTCGAAGCCAGAGGAGTGTGTGCGATGGTCCGAGTGGTCCATGTGTCTGCTGAATCTGCTTGAAAAGAATGAATAGTATGCTTCCCCAAGTGCCTTTTTCATCAGCATGTATTTTGGGTCTACATTAAGAATGTTTCCATGAAATATTAACATCATTCCCAAGATTATATTGTTCTCTCCTTAACTACTAATGATTTGAGTGCATTTACAGCTTCAATTTAGAATGCTGGATTTTACCATAGTCATTTAAGAATGAGAGACATGCAGAAAATTTTATTAGAGTATTCTGACAGGCAAATCTTGCACCTAGATACTAATTAAGTAAAAAGTTTGCACAAGGTATTTAATGTAATAGCAAGAGTTCTGAAGATGTCAAGATTCGTGCTCCTCTCAGATAGAAATTTAGTAAGCAACTCATGAAAAATTTTCAGCATAATAAATTTCTGATGTTTACAATTTTTTTCATCTAATACTGTGATTTTTCAGTAACATGCCTTAGTACTTTCAGATCTTTTGAAGCTTGAGTCATAGAAATTTTAGCCCCAGAAGGAACCTGAGCAGTCATTTAATGTAATCATCTAAGTTTTCAGATAGAAACTAAGAGAGAGCCACAACATGGCCACTGGGCCTGGGATAACTGACCAGGTCCTTTGATCCCTAGACCATTCTTTCCTCTCACACTATCCTTCCTCTCAATGGAATCCAATCTTGCTAAAGTTTCAGGGTAAAAATGAACAAAACTTCAGCTGTCCAAATGAAAGACTTTAATTTATTTATGAATTTAATGCATATCTGTGACAGTTGGAGCTAGATAAGAACCAAAAGCCAAGTGTGATTAAGATTCTTCCTTTGCCTCATTCTGTCTCAGGCTTCTTAGCAGAATGCATTATCAGAGCGCCACAAGGACAGACCCGGAGGATAGGACAATATGACAAGAGTCTGATCTCGAGCAAGGCTGCCAGATTTAGCAAATAAAAACAAGAGGATTCCCAGTTACTGGATTTCAGATAAATAATAACTTTTTAGCATAAGTGTGTCCCATGCAATATCTGAGACATACACTAAAAAACTATTGTTTATCTGTCATTGGAATTTAACTGGCAGTCATTTATTTTCTCTGGTAATCCTAATCTTGAGGTCAAGGACACAGACTTTTAAGCATTTAAGAGATGAGGGAGGCAGATAGAGTTAGCCCCACTAAAGGTAGCTGATGTTTTACAAAATTGCAGATTTCGAATCGTCCTAGGATCTGCTACTCTGTACAAAAGTGAAGGAGGGGTCATGCTGGGCTGCCATCCCTCTAAATTGTAGTAGAATGTGAGACTGATTTTTCACCAGATTAGCAGGGATGGTGGTGTCCAGGGTGGGAGGCACAGAGTCTCCATCCCTGTGTGCTCTAAAGCAGCTGTATCCTCTCCTGTGTCTTTAATAGTGAGGACTGATTTTGCAGGCACAGAATCAGAATTCATTATATAATCAGTGATTACAAAACCAAATCTTAAATGTGGAACAATGCAATGTTCCTTCACAGAAAACCATAAAAAAAAAAGTATTCTGCAAGACTGTGTCTCACCCTGGTGTCCAGGACCCTGCATGTAAACCCCATTTAACAAATGGCTGAATGCTAAAGTCTCACCATGCAGCAGGGAGCCCAGTCACAAAACCAGGACTGAGTGAAAAAGGCAACGAAATGCCAGCCTTGTGTCAGAATATGAGCAGTTCGGCCACACGCTCAGCGGCAGTAAGATGTCATGACAGCACTAACTCTACGAGTGATTTTCCAGTTCAGCCACAGTGACCACACAGCAATGCCAAACCTCGGCTGAGTCTACGTATGAAATTACCTCCCCAGATGGCTCAGATGTCCTCAGCTGGAAGTGGTGGGAGTGGTGGCTGCAGTGGGCAGTGGAGGTGGGGGAAGGGTTGGCAGTGATTGGGCAAATCTGGGAAGGAACGCGAGTTAGTGAAGAGAATTGGGGTATAGCTGCAAGCATATTTGTAAAATTGCACCTGTGGCCAAATTTCCTCAGAGAAACACTGCAAATCATGTAGTTAGTTTCAGTTTTTATCTGTTACTCCAAATCAGAAATGTTCTTAACATTTGAGCCTAATATTTTTTAGAAATACATCTTTTGGTCTTAACACTGCATAGAGTAAAAAATAAATGTTGAAAACCAGGCCATACTGGAGTTAAGAATGTGGTTAATTATAATGATCATTTACGGCTGCCATGACCTAAACTCACATTGAACAACTATATAATAGTTCTATTTTCTGAAACTTTAGTGAGGGAGGAAGCTAATAGTATCTGACT